TCCCAAGAACACGGAGGGCAGCAGCAGGGCCAGCAGCAGGAGGAGCAGCAGCAAAGCGATCGATGAGGGTGCTGATGTACCCAAGAGTCCAGAGGGCAGCAGCAGGAAGAGCAGCAGCAAAGCGATCGATGAGGGTGCTGATGCTCCCAAGAATGCAGAGGCCAGCAGCAAGGCCAGCAGCAGGATGAGCAACAGCAAGGCCAGCAGCAGGAGGAGCAGCAGCAAAGCCAGCAGCAGGATGAGCAGCAGCAAAGCCAGCAGCAGGATGAGCAGCAACAAGGCCAGCAGCAGGGCCAGCAGCAGCAAAGCCAGCAGCAGGAAGAGCAGCAGCAAGGCAATCGATGAGGGTGCTGATGTTCACAAGAGTGCAGAGGCCAGCAGCAAGGCCAGCAGCAGGATGAGCAACAGCAAGGCCAGCAGCGGGAGGAGCAGCAGCAAAGCCAGTAGCAGGAAGAGCAGCAGCAAGGTCATTAATGAGGGTGCTGATGCGCAAAAGAGTGCAGAGGGCAGCAGAAAGACCAGCAGCAAGATGAACGGCAAGGAAATTGCCAGTGATGCTAATGCGCGGAAGAGCCGAAAGACGAGCAAGACCAGCAACAAAGCGGAAACTCCACGGTCAGTGTGTGTGTCAAGCATATCCAATCACGATGCCGCCTCTGACAGCGTGTCTGGCAAGGTCAAGAACCTGATGGACCACTTCAGGAACGACGAACATGCGGTAAAGAGAGGAAATTCTGAGGCAGCAGAAACATCGCTGCCTCTCATCAACCGACCGCGTTCCAAGGAGGCTGCTGCCACACTTAACAGTGGTCCGCCTGTTGTTACCACTCGAGAGGAGCTCTCCGCCCTTCTTGCGACGAATGACGAGCTGCGAAGGAAGTTGTTCGAGAGCAGCCGCGCGGAGAGGTACCCGAACGTGCCAAAGAGGGGTTTGCACACCAACAGAAGTGCGAGTGGGCACCGTCAGCAGAAGAAGACAGTTGCGTCAATTCAGCAGTCCATGCGGCGTGAGTGGATGCGACAGGATCTACGCGGGGAGCATGCGTATTTGATTGCCCAACGCAATGAACTTCGACACAAGGTGGCCAACCAAAGGCGGTTGCACGCGTACTTTGCTCTTATTGAAGAGTGCAGAGGTGATATTGTCAAACTGACGGACGAAAGACGCATGCTATCACTTGAAATACGCCAGAATGAGAAGATACTGACCACTAAGGGCACAGATCAAGAGTTGGATGTGGCATACCGGCGGCTGGCGGATGCGATAAAAGCGGACTCCGTGCTGGCGCAGCGGTCCCTGCAAAAGGCACAGAACGACGCGGCTGCGGCAGAAAAGATGCATCAGGATGTACAACAACGTATTGAAAAACTTGAGGAGAGATTGGCAGAGTCCGAAAATGGTGCAGCACCCGCGACAAACGACCTCGAGTTGCGCCACCTTCAGGAGACCTACCTGCGAAAGGCGCAGAATATCCAGCGACTAAAGAAGCAGCTCCGAGCCATGAAGTCGCAGTTGCCGAAGATATCACATCCGAATGAAGAAAAGGGTAATCCCAGGAGCGAGAAGAATGAGCGGGAGTACTTGACCAACCGCATACGCCATCTACGTGCGGAGTTGGACACATTCACATCCAAACCGGTCAGATCGAGGTCGGCGAGGCGGCGCTCACAGATGCGTAACAAAGCGTCCGTTGACACCCCTTTATCCAATAAAAACAGCATAGCGACAAGAGCTCCATCGGCGAGGGCATCATCAACAAAAGGGCGATCTCGTTCCAGAGATGCCAACAAATCGTCTAACGCGTCGACGCCCGCGGTGCGTCACGATGCGAACCCACCTCCTAAAGCCGCTGTTGGCTTACAGCGCGACTCCATTGACAGTGTGATGGAGGACCTCAAGCGCCGCGTGGAGCAGAGGCGGTTCAGCGGCCACACGCCACTGGAATGCCAGCGTGACCCCTCCGAAACATCGGCACACACCGCCCCGAAGAGACCATCGCGTCGCAGCTCTTCGGGCGCGGGTGTGCCCACCACCGACAGTGGCGATCAGGTAAGGTTCCTTGAGGACACTGACTTCGCGATTACCGAGTCGGCGAGCGTCGCGCCGTTGAGTGTGGCACCGAAGCAGGAGGAGACGCTCAACGAAAAGGAGAATGTTGCCGCCCCTCCGTGGTTCGACGACGACGACGACGATGGCGAAAAAAAGAATGCGGTCCTTGTACCAGCGCCAGAGCCAGAGTCCCAGCACGCAGAGAATGATGCGACCGCGCTGCCCCCGAGTGGGGGGTATGATAACGACGACGACGATGACGACGACGTTACGGATGAAGCGGCTTCGGCTCCCGGTGACGACATAGAGGTGGCGGCACCCCACGCGGAGGCGAGTGATGCCGCTGCTGACGCACCAGGGGTGGACACCGCGGAACAGAGCGACACCGAAACAGATGAAGACGTTGTTGCGGAACCGGAGCCGGAAACCAAACCAGAGTGGGAAACCGAAGTTGATGCGGCGGTCGACGCGAGATCGGAACCTGAGGAAAAGTCAGAGAGCGAGGTAGAAGAGGATGCACAGGAAGAGACCAAAGAGGATGAGGCGACCGAGACGGAAGGGGGTGCGGCAGAAGAAGCAGGAAATTTTTTTGCACAGGATGATATTACGAAGGAATTGGACGCACCTGCAGAAGCGGACGCGGCTCCACCAGCACCAGCGGGTGAACCCTCTTGGCTTGATTTTGATTAGAGCCCACACGACGTGGCCTCCCGTAGAAATAGAGTAAGCGGAGGTTCCGTTTCGTCCCCATCAGCGCAGGCAGTTCCGGGTACGAAAGAAAAAAAACAACAACAAAGGCTTATTCTCTTAGACAACAGACAATACTAGTCAGATTCACGGTCGTCGCATTGTAGGAAGTGTGTTTCAATTCTCCTCCCTGTTTAGTTTTTTTTTGATCAATGCTACTGCTCCGTTCTGTTTTTGTCGGTTACTTTTTGTCTATTTCATGGGAAACCACTTATGTTCCGTAGTTGTGGCGGATGTGAGGCACAGTGAACAATACACAGACGTCTTTAATACGGACGCTCTTACTTCTCAGGCCTTTCATCATTCCTTTCTCCTTGCTGTTCGACATATAGCAGCAGGATGCTACTGTGCGCCTGCGAGCCTTATGCGATGTAAGTAAAGAACGAAAAGCAAAAGGAGGAAAAGAAACAAAGCCGGGTGGTAAGATATATGTCGCTGCGTACACTGTTGTGTGCCATGTCTCTGTCGTTCGTCAGACCTTTTTTTTT